CAAAGGATTTTAAAAAAGCATTTGCAATGGCACATTATAAGTAGTGAATTTGAAGTCCACTGCACCTGCAGAGAAGGGCATGAAGGCATCCCTTTTGACAAACTGGCCCTGCTTATTTAGGAAGTGTCTTGGGTTGAAGCTGTCAGGAGTTTCCCACTCATTTTCATCCCTCAGTACAGATGCCAGTAGCGCCCACACACTGGTACCCTGCACAAAACAACACAAAAGATCAATGATAAATGGTGCAAACGCATAACCAAGAACACTGCATGTTCTTACTGGAGCCAGACCTTCTTGATGAGGTATCCATTCAGGTGAACATCACAGGTGGTCTGACGGGGGACGCTTATGGGTACTATGTTTGCAAATCTCTGGGTTTCATGGATCACAGCGTCTGTATATGAGAAGTTCTTTCTGTCTTCCACCACAGGCTGACGTTCACCGATCACTCGGTCAATCTCATCTTGAACCTCGGCTTTTGTCAAGTCAGATCAACATTCACAAGAAGCAAGAACACAGCATCACAGCATTCAAAAAGTTCCTGACAATTTATTGATAAAACAAAGTTTGACTTGACTATATAAACAATTTACTTTTTAATATGGACTGATGAATAAGAACTTTATGAACAAAATGCCATTTGCAGTTGTACCTTGTATTTCAGGGTATTTGGCCATGAGCAGAAGACCCCAGCACAGTGTTGTAGTCATATTGTCGGTACCAGCAGCAAACAGGTTATTAATTGTACAATGAAGATTCACCGAATGGAACAGAGTCGCTGATTCACTTGATCCCTGCACAATTTGTCATGGTGACATCCAAGGAAAATAAAGTGTGATGTCAAAACATTAAAAATTAGATTGTGAAAATACATTGATTATGTTGTGATTACAAACTCTAAAACTATAAACGTTCTTCATTCCCTCCAAGAAGCTTGTTGGTGAGTGAATGGCACCTTGTTAATCACTTTCCTGAACCTTCACCTTCATGATTTTCAATTTGTCAGCATTAGTTAATGCATTAGAAATCATGACATAAACTAACAATAATGACAATATTTTT